CGCTGCCATTTGAATCCCTCGTCCTTCCCATATAGTACAAGTACACACGCGACATTTTGCGGCACATGTTTGCCGCCTTGTCAGACCGCGTTGCTGCCAGTTTGCCATTTGAGCAGCAGCGACAGTTAGCTCGCGATTTTTTCCACACAAATGCAGGCAGAGTTGTCAGAGAGTGTGTGTGTGTGTGTGTGTGTGTGTGTGAGTGTTTGTTGTTGTTCTTGTTGTGTGGGATACTGCGGCGTGTCCTTGTGGTGTATTTAACCTGTCTGCTCGTTGGATTACGGCAACAAAAGCAGCGACAGACAAACACAGAGACTGGGAGAAAGCAAGAGAGAGTGAGGAGACGCGAAACAACAATTCATGTATCTATTCATAAGCGAGTTCTCTGCGGTGTTTGTAATGCAATACGCAGCCAGTAGAGAAAAACGCGCTTGCAACAACCGCAACCATTCGCGCCTCGCCGCTGAAATGCCACCCAGCATACGAGTATTGTTCTACTTCGTTAGCAGACATTTTAACGCTTATTTTAGTTTTGGCTACAACTTGCTTGCACACATCCTCACACACACACACACACACACACACACACACACACACACACACACATACATGCACAAAAACACACACGAAACCCGCAATATTCACACTAATTTCCACAAGCGGCGTTAACGCGTCAGTTGCGTGTTTGCGTCTTTTCAAATGCAGTTTCCACACCCGTGCATCTCCATTTGGCTTACATATTAGCCTAACGTCCCAGCTTGCTAACTTTTCCATTGAATAATTCAATATGCCAATTCTGTTTGATAATTTCCTATGTGTTATCAGTCCACAAGATATTTATTGTTTCAGGGAGTGTTGTGTTCATGTAGTATATCAATGCTGTATTATTTTATTACAATTCAATTGAATTAATATAAGTATACTATGTATAACATTTGATTGCGAATCCAGGAAATGCTATCTTGGACGCCAATCGACCTCATTCGCATTTACATTGTACGCAACCACACAGACGAAGAAATAGATTGACGCATTTCATCGATCTCTCGGACCACCGCCTGTGCATAATAAATCCAGAAGGCTGAAAACAAACGATATTGTTTAAATAAATGAACGTTTAACTGACTGATAGCTGGCGTAAACTAAAACTCTAAAACCATGCACTCATATAGGGACAAAACGGTTTTGATTTTTAAATTTGTTTTTCTCTTCTGAATATCGGACTGCCTTCTGACTGCCTCTGCTTTGGCGCAGCAGGCAACTAAAAAGCTGTACAGTTAGCTTTCATCTATGCTTACATATAATGCCTAACATGCACTTTAGTGTATCTGTGTGTGTGTGTGTGGGAACGGTAAAGGTTGTATATTGTTAAAATATATATTTTCATTAAAAACAAACCAAAATGGATCTTTCACCTCTAAAGTCAGGAGCAAAATATTAGTATATCCCCGTGGGGAGTGTGATATGAAGACAAAAGGGAAAATACATTTTTAAAAAAGCAAGTCGGTTGTTGAACATTTTCCAAAACACCCAATGAATGTAGGCACAACAAAGGCACTAATAATATCTTCTTACGAAGGCCGGGTGCTTCGGGAAGCGTCAAACCCACACTCCTCCGCATCTGCAATTCGCCTAAAATTGGGAATAATTGCAAGTGTTGATACGAGTGCGACGAAATCTCTTAAAGAAAAAAAAACTACCTCTGCCAAATCCACGTAAAGACGTTCGTTTGAGTAAATCATATATGACATGGAATAAGGAGTGGCACATTTACATTTTTTATTAAAAATGCTGCAACTTAAAAGGACTTGATGGTTTCATTTCCATAACGTAAGGAAACTCTCCACCATAACCGTAAAGGGTACTTTTAAACAAGCGAGCGCAAATATTTGCCGTCAAAGTTGAGTGCAACTTCCTTCAAAAGCATGTCTGAGCAGTCATTTTCTTCATATTTGAACCTTTATCTGAGACTTTCCAGCATGATAATGCCCCAGTTCATACCACACGTGCAGTGAAATCTTGATAAGCAATCAGAACGTATCTTTATTGGGGTGGCTCCCTTACTCTCCCCAGCTCAATGTGCTTGAGAATGTATGGTGAGGACTCACAAGTAAACTATATGAGTCTGGAAGACAGTTTGCAAATGTCCAATCATTGAGAGAAGGCATTAAAGGTACCTGGAATGTAATCTCATTAGAGTATATAGAGTCTTCATATGATTTTTGTTCCATTTTATAATTTTCTTTTACTTCACAACTAAATGCTTTAGAATAGAAGATTATACATAGTTTTGTTGCTCTCACTCTTTTTCTTTTTTGCATGGCAGTGTATTAATCTCACAGAAAAAGGTAAGTCGATCGTATTCAAAATTTATGTTCCTTTCTTGAACTACGTACACAAGACTCGAAGATCAGAGGTATGCATCTATAAATGATCGCACCACTTTATCTCTATATTATAATTAAAAACAGGCACCAAAACCAATAATTGTAATTGTCACCTACGCTTTTTAATTTATTTCCACTTCAAGACATTTGCAGTCCTGTAGAGAACAATTATGGGACAATACATTCTAAAATTCGTTTTATAGATGGGTTCGTTGCATACTAAGAAGTAACTTCTTTTCTTTAAACTTAAGCAAAGAAATAATTATTACTAACCTGCAACGATGATGAGGAAAGTAGCATTAAATGCGTTTTCTAGTGGACCATTTAATAAAGAGTTAAAGCTATAAAAGAGCGCAGCGTATACGAAGAAAACGGCGCCCAGAAGCCATGGAATCAAAAGCCAATGATTTCGCTGACAAATGAAGAAAATATAAATCTTTCATAATTAGTAGAACGAAACAGACAATTGTTTTTGTTTTTTTTTTTTACCTTTATGACGCCTACAATTAAAAGTACTCCTCCAGTGATTTGCTGAACACAAATGTGAACTAAAACATTGTCTGTTATTGAAATTTTCGGTGGAAGAGGGCTTTTTGGGGAAATGCACTGCCAGTTTCCACATCGATTGTATTGAATATTTAATATAATGCAGGCGATCGACATGACCAGCGACAGCATCGAAATGGCAAATGGAACCGACACACTCTGCAACTTGCGCCACATAACTGCGGTTCAGGCTTAACAAACGCCACCTCAACGCTGATCGTAAACAACTGTGCCCTGTATAGTCGGGGGAGCTACGCAGAACTCTTATCTTAACATGCTCGAGCGACATAAAAAAAGAGAGACCACACACACAACTTAAGCCTTGTAGGGAAAAACCTAACTACTTGTATTTATAAACGCAACTGAACTCGGGGTACACTGGGCGTCGCAAAATCCACACAAATAATTCTCTTCAAAAAAAAGTAAATCACACAATGTGAATAAATTAGAGGGATGTAAGAAAGCATCGATGTATCGAGCATCGGCATCGATGTATCGAGCATCGGCATCGATGTATCGAGCATCGGCATCGATGTTTTCCGATATTTTTTGGCTTGCGATCCATCGATGTTTGTTTAAACATCGAATATTTTTAATGTTTAAGTGGGCGGCATGGTGTACCGAAGAAAGTATTTTTGTATTTTTATGTGTATTTTGTTATATATATTTTTGTGTGTTCAACATTTAATCTTCTTTTGATATGTATATAATCGGATTGAAATGTTTTTAAAACAGATTATATTAAGATTATTTTTCAGTAAGCCATACAAGTTCATTTAAAGTCAGGAAAACGATTACTTTATTAGTTAACAATATTAACCAAAATACTATGACAGCGTCTTTTGACTTACAAACCTTTTTAAATTAGAAAATTTCCTTTGATTTTCTCTGTTGAACTACATTTTATTTTTTAGAACAACGATGCACCGTGGTAGCAATTTAAATTGTTATTGCTACAAGTATGTCCCATCAGCAATTTGCGACAAGGCAGTCAGAACCACTTAAATAATCCCGACCATCAAAAAAAATGCAGAAGGACATTTATAATTTAATTTTGGCAAACCAAGTAAAATGGCAATGTCGTGTACTGTGGGCAATGCGGAAGCGTTTGGCCAATTGGATCAGGTAAATATAAGATTCCCAACAGACTCTCGGTATCGACATTCTCAAAAGTCCGATATGCAAGTGTAATTAAACAATCTGTGAATAGCAGTAAGTCCAAAATTATAATTCTTTGTATATTTCAAGGTTTAAATATTCGGAAATGGCTACTAATTGAATCCACTTCTTGGGAGAGAGAGAGAGGCTTGATAAGTAAAAACCGTTTTGAAAAATGTTGGCTAATTTACATCAACAACACAAGTGTCGCATTATCTCGCTTCGCCACTAGCAAACCTTTTTAATTATGTTTACTTGTTTAAGTGAAAACAGTTTAGTTGATCTCTGTTCCATGATTAAAACTTCTAATTCCGGCTTTTTTCGGCATCTAAAACTTTCACGGTCGCCCAGGGGAGTGTCCTCTTAAGGGGATAACTACTTGTACTTTATACACTGATCGAATGTTTTAGAAAAAGTGTCCGCCGCAGAGAGTGTCCGGATAAAAAAGGGGTCCGTAACGAGAGTTTTCGTTGTAAATGAAATAAAGTCGTGAAGCCATATATAAAATTTCTAAGTTTTAAACCGTGTTAAATCAAAACTGTATAAAACTGTATAATAGAGCTGTTATATTTGAATTATCTCATTTGTTTAACCATTTAAACTAGATTCGGTCATCACAGTCCAAAGCCATGTTTTGCCCCTTCACCAATCGATCCACCGTAGCCGTTGTGCAGGACATTGTCAACGCCTGTCGGATTTTTTTATAAAACCTAGATGGTTCGTAGGCACCCACCAAATCCATATCATTTAACTGTTGACACGCTCAATATCATGAGTCCAACTCGTGCTCTATGCCTTTTACGTTGCAAAAAAAGCACAATCCCTATTTAAGCGTTTGTTTCGTCCAATTTAAATACATACGCATCATAATTGTAGATTAATGAGTATTTATTTATGCACTCGGTTACTACTTACTCATGTACTTAGGTGTAGTATTATAATTACGCTCGAAGCCTTAATGAGTAACAAATGAAATACTTCATTCGCTTATTTTAGCTGCAGACTGCCCGTGACGTCATGTTGCTTCGTCATTAGTTCCGTCGATAATTTCATATGCTGTTTGCTGTGCAGTGCGCAGCTTTAGATAATCAGCGAAAACTGCATACAGAAAGTATACCCAGACAGCTGAAACATTAATAGGCTGAAGTTTAAATAAGCGCAAAATCTAGAAAAAGGTGCAAATACCAATCAAAATATATGACACGGTTAGACATGTTAGTGGTTGTCGAATATAACTCGTTTTCCAATAACAGAAGCTATTCATTAGCAGTCCATATGTGAAGAGAGTCGCAGCAAACATCCAAGGCAGGCAGACCCATTTGTTAGGCTGAGAAATGAAAGTGCAACCAAATCAGATATAGTTACACCTATTCTGTACACTATTTCTTATCTATACACCGCCTTACCCTGAAGTATCCAATTACAAGCACAACACCTCCGATAGCCTGCAGAACGGCAATCGGTTGCCATATAATGGGGTCTACAAATCTCACAAATAAAACAAAAAAGAAAACATTTAATACGAATTGTTTTTCCTACTTACAGCGCTGTATTTCGGAACAAGCATATCTTATTAAAAACATGCTCACACATGCTGTGCCCGCGGAGAGCACTCCGATGACTAAACGTTGGACTTTCCGGCACGACATGCTCGGAACGCTCTGTTTCTCCGCCTTTTTGCAACTGCAATTATGACCGAGTCGTTAAAAGTTACGCGCCAAGCTTATCTTGAAATTAAAAGAAGAAGAGTGAGAGAGAGAGTCGGCTCTCTACCAATCTCTCTGCTTTATTGATTACGATATTAGTCACTTTTTATTGTTTATAAGCTTTTGCGGTGCACATTTGTTTAATGTGGAGCACTGAGTTTCAGTAAACCGCGCAACAAAATTCCTGCCGTAGTACAGAAGAACCCACCGATATAAGCAAATATAACTACACTATAATTTGCTTAGTTGCTTTCCTTTTGACAGCATTAAGAGTTGATTTCGTATGAAAATTATTACGTTTAGTGCATTCAAGTCAACAGCCTTTTGGACTTAAGCGCCTCATATCGGCTGTCATTTTTTGTCATTTTCTATGAATATTAAGAAAGTTAGCTGCGACATATACATATAAAATTTTTTTTTAAATTATGTAGTCACTTTATATTTAGTATAGAATGGCAATGTGTACATATTTTTTTACAACCGTTTATTGTTTTAATCGTGAGTTTTGACTTTCAGTGCGTACATACATATGTACATAATTAATTAAAAAATTAAACCGCGCAACAAAATTGTTGTCATAGTACAGAAGAATATTAAGAAAGTTAGCTTCGCCACCTAAAACTTTTTTTAAATTAGGTGTCCCTTTATATTTATAATAGAATGGCAATGTGTACATATTTTTTTTTTTTGAACCGTGTATTGTTTTAATTGTGGGTTTTGTCTTTCAGTGCATACATAAGTACATAAAGTATGTACATAATTAATTGTTAAATTATAAAAACGGGTAACAAAGCGCTTAATTGGTGTAACAAATAACTGCATCTGTACAATCATACGAGATCAACAATTAACCATATTATTAAAAAGCAAGCTAAAAACCAACAATGTGCAAAATCGAACAAATAGTGAAATTTGGCAAAAAATAATCCAAAATCCAAAAATATTGCTCTTTAGTGAAAATGCAACAAGTCTCAATACTGTAGATTCTAAAGTGTAGAGGGCTGTAAAAATATTAAATTTTTTCTACAAATTGTTTAAATTAGAGTATAGAAGCATATTTGTGAAATATCGACTGATCGCTGCAAACCTCTTAGTTTTGGACGACAAATTACAAATTATATCTAAGCAATTCGATACATGTCAAAAAATAATATGTTCGCATTGAGACCAACAACATGATACAACTTCATATATTGTATACAAACCACAAAAGATAAAAATGTTAGTTAAAAAATAAAGTTATGTTAGCTGCCTCAAAAGTCTGTGAAAAGTATTCCAAGCAGCTAAGCAAATTATTCTATAATTATAAAATAATGTATGGCTTACAGAACGGTGCTCAACTGCATACTTCTTATTACAGCTGAAATTCACAGAAGACAAGAAATGTTTCAATATGTATAAGCCATTGATTGCACGTACATCAACTGTCAAAAATGTTATTCGAGTAATCACGTCTCGAAATTAACAAATAATGTTTGCTTGAATTTACTGAATGCCTCAAAAAATTAGGCAGCTTTTTGAAAAAAGGTGATGAAGAATTATAAACATTTACGCAACAAATCGTGCGAAGAATTCTTTAAACCTTAAAATGAATATCAAATGAAATTCGAGTAAGCCTTTTCGATTCTATTTGTTTATAAAAAGAAGCTGCAGAGGCTGCGATCTTATATGGCTGTTTAGAAAATGACCAGCTACAGTGAAGTTGCTAAGACTGCGGTCAAACGTTATTGTTTACTATAAGTTGGTTTCAATCCATGAAGTGGATTGAATAGGATTTTTGCATAGAAGAATTTCTTTATATTCACCAAACGTCCAAGACTCATTTGACACCCCTTAAGGATAATAAGTTATTCGATCATAATCCATGCAGTGGAACATACATATGTATACATACTTATAGCATATGTTATTTCGACGCTTTAAATTGTTCAATAACAATTTCTTTCGAAATCAAGACCCCTGTACTGCGGTTATTTTTTGTAAAAATATGCTTGCAACAATTGTTTGTCTAGTTAGTTGTTAGACGAAGAAGTTCGCATGTGGATGGCCTGCTTAACGCTATAACGAGTGCAACATCCAGAACCCCATTTCATTGGCATTTATTACTATTTTTGTATCTCGTAAAAGCTATCAATAAATAATTTTAATTTTTTTCTCCTCCCATTTATTTCAAACTAAACACTAAGGAATGACAACAATAACCAGCTATATACAAGTATATCACATTTGGTAATATATATTCATTAAGAATGCCGGAAATAATAATGTTGTTGTTGTCGTGGGTCACGAATTGTGACAATGGATGACCAAATGCGAAATATGTAAGTAAGTAAAAACACCCCAAATTGTTGAATTTTGTATTAGCAGACATATGTATATGTATATACCAGTACATTCATATGTACATTCCCGAATGAACAACGCGAAGCTTAGGCACGTCTTTGATTGTTGACTACGAATATGAAAATAATAATACTCGTAAGTGTTGAACTTAAACTGCACTTTATGGCGGGATGGAAGAGGCGTTGATATCGACGCACTTTCCGTAAATTAGCCAACAGTAGACTTCATTAAGTTGTGCCAGTAAATTAAGTGCTAATGTCGAAAGTTTTGACCGCCAAAGTGCGCAATTCAGTGTTGTAGTTGTTGTGGTGGGCGGTACTTCTTTTGCTTTTCTTCCGGCGGAAGTAACCCAAAACAGCAGCAGCAACAGCATCAGCCACAGCAGCAACGTCGCCAACACCAAATTGATGATGTAGCCCAAAACCAACGAAAATTGCATTCACTTTCCTTTCCTGAGGCTGTCCGAACGCCCTCTTCCGCAACGTCCCGCTGCCCCCCCATATGCTTGTGAAGCACGCAGTCTGCAAATTTTTAATGCTTTAATCTTGATGCTAATAAATCTTGAAGTTGCTGGCACTTGTACATTACTTTTGGCCAAGGCAAAGCCGCACCGAACGGGTTGGGCTAAAAGGGGGCGGCCCATGCGTAAGCTGGGACTGGAAGTGGAGAAGGCCAAATACAATTAGAACCCTGCACGCTTAACAGTTTTAGTTTAAGCCAATTTGAATGCACTTTGCCAGGCGGGCAACGGCAAAGGCAACGGCAACGGCAACCAACCACCGACCACGCCCAAGCCAAGCAACTAGCTGTTGAAAAACAACGCATTCGTGTCGAGAAAGTTCATGAAAACGTCTTAGTTCGTGATTGCTAATTAGAACTGACGCCAACTCACTGGCAGGACTTGCCGGGACTTGCCAGGTCTTCAACAAATGTTCGCTGCATGCGGAAATTGATGCTGACAGTTTTGGCGATGTCGAGTTCACTAATCGAATTGACCTGCTGCGTGAGCGTGAGCCATTGATTAGCTCCCTATTGGCGGTATTCATAAACGCACCAACAACAAAGCAGCCCTTTGTCCTGGGAGTTCAAAACTTATGTGAGTCAATTAAATACGGAACTGTTTGCTGCCTATTGAAACCAAAGACTGCCCGCCAGCCCTTATGTAAAATGTCACGGTCAAGCACACTACCCAACAAATAGACGTAGACTGGCTTCTAGTTGAGAATAGTTTCAAGAATTTGAATACGAATACTGGATAGTTATATCTACATCAAAAATTCCAGCTATAAATAATCGTCTTATTCTAGGGACTGTTGAGATTCAATAAACAGGCAAACCAGTCGTTATAGCGAGCGCTTAAAATCTCACAGCAGCAGACTGGCAAAACGACTTCTTACGATCTTATTCATTAAGCCTTATGCAATTCTTCAATTTGTTATTTATTATATTCTTGGTTTCTTATTATACAAAACAGTAGTCTTACGGCCGATTCCCTGCTTCAACAATATTAAAAAAATAAATAAATCGTAAACAAATAAATAGATAATCGTACATACCATCCATTATTTATTATACAAACAATCATTCAGAGATCCCAGATAGATCCCAGACTTTCGAGATTAAATGAAGAGTATTTTAAATCCAACATCTCATTAGTTCACGAGCTATTCAAAATTGACCGGCAGATGTATGATCAGGACTAATAACTACATAAGTTATCTAAATTCACCTAATTCTGTTTTTACACGGTAGACTGATTTTAATTTTCAATTTTTTATTTTCAAACCATGTTAAATCAAAACCGTGTAAAAAAAGACGGTATAAAAACAGAATTAGGTGTACTCTCTTAGTCTGAAACCGTGAGAGTAGTTTCAACAATTTAAACTTTTAATATCCACTGATCTGGGTTTGATCGGGTATCCCATTCTCAACTTTGGAAGACGAGTCGGTTGGTAACTAGGCTTGTCTATTTGAAGTCGATTACAACATATTACAATTATTAATTAAGCAGACTTTCATTCATTAAATAATTGAACAGATATTGCTTCACTTGCTAGGCATTTTAATTCTTTTTATATAGTTACGTTCTAATGGATTAACCCAAAGACAAACGATTAATTTTATAATTTTTAAATTACAATAATTTTGATATCTTTAAAAATGATTTATTTTTTAATTCAATGAAATAGGCACTATTTCATTTGTTCATTCATTTGTTTGTGTTTTAAAGCCTCTTACGACAAACATCTTCCTATGTTAGAAAATTGTACAATAAATTAATTTATGAAATAGTTATGAAGCTTGCAAGTTGTCGCCCTATTGGGCGGGTAATGGGATGAGCATCGGTCAGTTTGATCCGGTGAGCTCGCACCTGGTGGTATGTCTATTGATCTGAAGGCTTACCTCCTCCAGATTTACTTGTGGGACGTGGTGGAGCGTTCAACCGGGCCTGGATACAAATTCGAGAACATTTCCTGGCATCAAGTATTGGGCATCGCAATAACCATAACCAATCTCTAAAAAAAAATGTAATGCATTTTTGCGAATAACAAGTTAATAGTCATGAA